CCTGCTTCTCCCTCTCCCACTCCCCCTGCTTGTGTTCCTGCGCTCACGGTCGCGCGCTGTCAAATAAATAAATAAAAAATTAAAAAAAAAAAAAAAAGACTTATTTGAGAGAGAGAGAGCACATGTGAGTTGAGGGGGTGGGCAGAGGGAGAGGGAGAGAAAATCCCAAGCAGGCTCAACCCCCGGCGCAGAGCCCACTGGGCTCGATCTCACAAACTTGAGGTCGTGACCTGAGTCGAAATCAAGAGGCAGACGCTTAACTGAGCCACCCAGACGCCCCTGAGGCTTTTTTTTTTTTTTTTTTTATATATTAGAGAGCCCTTATCTCTTAAAAGTATATTCCTAAACATTTATGGGTGAAATGATAGGGTGGCTGGCAAGCAGGGGAATAGAAGTGGGATACAGGTGATGAAAACATGGGCTCCCCAAGCGGATCACTGTTGGAATGGAGTGAGGGGTACCATGTGAAGGTCGCTATACTCCTCATTAGTTAGTATTCATTCTACCTTGGTGTACATATAAAACTGATCACAGTAAATAAAAAATAAGCACTAGCAGTCGGCTCCACGTGGATCTCCCGGGAGGAACAGAGACAGATGGTGGGGTGGGGGGCCCCAAGGAAGACTCACCTTTCAGATAAGATAAATTTTCCATCTTTGAGGCTGGGTAGCTTCTTCAGGGGGTTGATCTCTCTGTATTCCTTGCTGTGGTGGTGACCTGAGAGGGGCAGGAAAGGTAAAGGTCTGAGGGTGCTGGGACTCCAGAGAAGAGAGAACCAGGTCTCCCAGAGGCAGAATGCCTTCCTCCCCGTTTTCACTAGAAGAGGAAACAAGCCCAGAGGAATACCATGGCTCACTTCAGGTCAAAGGGCAAGTCAGCGGCAGAACAGGGATTAGGATCAAGACTCCTGCCCCCATCCCAGGCTTGGTGACCAGGACAACCCGTTGGCTCACAGAAGTTGGAGGCCTCCAGCCCCCACTCCCAACTCCTGGCCTGAAGCCACAGCCTATGAATCAGCAGAAGCCCTAGAAGCCTGGATCTCACCCCTTATAGCCCCCTCAAAAAGGGGCAGGGCAGCCAAGAGCCCCAGCACACAGCTGGAATTCAAAGGGAACCTCTCATATGCAATCAATCTATGGGGAATTTTGTTTTGTGGTGGTGTTTTGGTGTTTTTTTCCAAGGTCTTTACTTTATTTTTTTAATATTGTTTTTAATTTAAATTCAATTAATTAATATATGATGCATTATTAGTTTCAGAGGTAGAGATCAGGGGTTCATCAGTCTTATATAACACCCAGTGCTCATTACATCACGTGCCCTCCCCAATGTCCATCACCCAGTTACCCCTCCCCTCCAGCAACCCTCAGTTTGTTTCCTATGATTAAGAATCTCTTATGGTTTGTCTTCCTCTCTGATTTCGTCTGGTTTTATTTTTCCCTCTCTTCCCCTATGATCCTCCATTTTGTTTCTTAAATTCCACACATGAGTGAGATCATATAAGTGCCTTTCTCTGATTGACTTATTTTGTTTAGCATAATACCCTCTAGTTCCAGCCACGTCGTTGTAAAGGGCAAGATGTCATTTTTGGGATGGCTGAGTAGTATTCCATCGTGCGTGTGCGCACACACACACACACACACATATGCCCCATCTTCTTGATCCATTCATCTCTTGATGGACATCTGGGTTCTTTCCATAGTTTGGCTATTGTGGACGTTGCTGCTATAAACATTGGGGTGCATGTGCCCCTTTGAATCACTACATTTGTATCTTTGGGGTAAATACCCAGTAGTGCAATTGCTGGGTTGTAAGGTAGCTCTATTTTCAACTTTTTGAGGAAACTTATTTTTTTTGTTTTGTTTTATTTTTTTAAGTAAGCTCTGCTCGGGGCACCTGGGTGGCTCAGTCAATTAAGCGTCTGCTTTCGGCTCATGATCCCAGGGTCCTGGGATCGAGTCCCACACCAGGCTCCCTGCTCAGCAGGGAATCTGCTGCTCCCTCTCCCTCTGCCCTTCCCCCTTGCTCTTGCTCTTTCGCTTGCTTGCTCTCTCTCAAACAAATAAAATCTTAAAAAAAAAAAAGGTAAACTCTGCTCGACATGGACTTGAACTCAGTTTTTTTTTCTTTTTTTTTTAAAGTAAGCTCTCCACTCAACATAAGCCTGAACTCACAACCTGGAAATCAAAAGTCCACACACACGACCAACTGAGTCAACCAGGTGTCCCAATCCATTGGGAGTCTTAACCCTTCCACAGCCAGCTGCCTCTGGCTGGAAACATTTCTGGGGCTGGACTCACACTTCATTTCAGAGCATCAGGTCTCCTCTTCTATGTTCTAGAGACTTCTGCCTCTGCGACCTGAGCTTTTAAGAATCCCTTCCATGCTTGGGATAGTGTTGGGTCTGTGTCACCCTGGGCAGGTGTGAACACGGTGGGGCAGAATGGGTGTGGACTGAAGCGGGGGTCTTCCCTCACATGTGAAATGACCACACATGTCCGCAGCCTTTGCCAACTGATCAGAGGTACTGCAGCTAACAAGTGCTACCCTCCCACGAGGGAAAGCCAAGGGCACTGGATGGGAGACTGGGGGACGCTCAGCAGCTCTGCCTTCCACTTTACCTGATAGCAGGGTAGAATATGTGGGAAGGATGGACAGCCTACAGTTCCCTTGGGAAATGTTTCTTCCCCTGTGGACTTTGATGGGGGGGGTGTCTCCTCTGTGTCTCAGTTTAGAGACACCCTGACCTTGTGCCCTGCCTCCCCTCTGGACCAGACCTATGCCCAGCAGCAGGGGGTGCCTACCCTTTAACAGATCCACAAACTGGAAGTCAAAGGGGATGCTGTTCTTCCTGGCGAAGATATAGACAGCACGGCAGGATGCTGACAGCAGGTCCAGATAGAGCTCCAGGCCCATGTTGAGACACACGTTGGGCACCCCCACCAGCCACAGCCGCAGGCTCTGAATCTGAACTATATGCAGCCTGAGCCCTTGGCCCTGGCCCTGTGCCCTCAGCCGTCTCTAACCCAGGCCCAGGACCCCGAGTTCTGGAACTTCTTGTTTCATTTGGTGGTGTCATGAGGCCAGGAAGGCCGGAATTCTCACAGCAGCAAAGATTCTGGGGAGACTCAGGAGCAGACTGGGGAGATGCCCCTGGCTTGGGGGCAGAGGGTGGGGGCCACCTGCAGCCCTGCCCCTCCCCTCCGTCTTGGTGCCTGTCTGTCCTTGCGGCCCATTTCTGAAAAAGGACTTACACACAGGAATTCTCAGGGCCGGAACTTCATTGCAGCCCATGACCCTGGGCTCTGCGGGGTCCAGAATGGAGACAGGGCAATCAGAACTGACTACGGAGGGTTTCAGAAGCAGGGCTTGGGGGTAGGCATAGGTCAGTCTAGCCCGAACTGTAGCTAGAAAAGTGTTGGGAGAAAAAGAAACAGGAGCCTGGGGAGCAGTCAGGGCACCGGGGACAATGTCACAGGGGCGTCAGGGGTCGGCCAGCCAGGCTGTGCCATGCAGAGAAGCCCAGAAACTTCTGGCTTGGCTTGGGACTGGCGGTGGCCAGGGGAACTCAGCACCTGGCAACTCAGGAAGGTAACTGGACGCACGTGGAGAATTCTGAGTGCTGCTCACTCTAGGCTGCATCATTGCAGGACATCTGTCCCTCTAGATTCTGCTCTAGACCCCCCCTCCGAAGACCGAGTGAGGCTGGAGACAAGTGGAGGGCACACAGCACGTTTATTGTGGCAGGAGAGTGCAGGGGAGCGGGCCCGGCCATACCCCTCTCAGCTGAGCCGCTCCAGCAGTCTCTGCACCAGCTCCTGGGCCAGCTTGGGGTCCCGCTGGGCATCTCGGGGGTCCCGAGGCTGTAGCACAAGCCTGTGGGCATCCTGGACGAGCTCAGGGCCCAGAGCAGCCTCTACTCGGGCTCGCCACGCTGCCAGCCGGGGCCAGTCTTGAAAGATGTCGCAGCCAACAGCAGTGGGCTGGGGAGACGGGGCAGCTGGAGCAGGGGACTCAGCCCTGGGCCCGGGGTCCCCCCAGGGGCAAAGCAGGCAAGAGAAGCTCACCTGCATCAGCTCCGTGAATGCCATCAGATCTGCCAGGGAGAGCTGCTCGGTGGCCAGGAAAGGCTTGGCGGCCAGGACCTCCCCATCCAGATGCTGCAGAGCTGGTTTCAGCTTCCCCAACAGCCGGTCTAGCTGCACGGGGTCCACAGGCTGCCCCGACAAATGGGGCAGGAGGGACTGGGTGGGGGAGAATCGAGGCGGCTTATCCCAGGCTCCTCCAAACAATGTCAACCACCTTGCCACCCCTCCTGGCCACCATCCCCACCATCCGTCAGTGATACCCCCTGGGGCACTGTATTCAGAAGGCTTCTGAAACCGACATTCTGACTGGGGGGGGGGGGGGCAGGCTGCAGAAAGAGTACTGTGATAGATTACGGATGTCTACCAGGGACAGTGGGTGGGAGGCTGTATATAGGCCAGTGGGTTCTTTCCAGCACAGGGGGCTCCGGCTCTTGCCCAAACCTTCACACTAGGGCAGGGAGTCTCACCTTACACAGGTAGACATTGCTAGCAGGCACCTGGACGGCCGTGTGCTGCCACGCCAGGTACTCATCCACACGCGCGCGGGCCTGCAGCTCGGTTGGGTACCAGTGGGTCGCTGCCTGGTACTTGTGACTCAAGTATAAAAGGATGGCCACGCTGCAGAGAGGAGGCGTCGGAGATTTCCCCAGCCCTCAACGCTAGGCAGCCTCATCTCTCGCAAACAGCGTGATTTGACTGGATCTCTCTCCAACGGCACCTCCAAGGGAGGACCCCCCCCCATTCCTACATCCCCACCGATGGTCATCTTTTCCCCACCAAACGGCTCCATTCCTCAAGTGCTCCCCCATGGGCCCATATTTCCACCGCCCGTCCCTTCTCCTACCCCAGCCAGCCCTCTGTCTCCAGGCCCCGCTCTCTGGCGTCAGAGTCCTACTGAACGGGAGGAAGGCGGACCTGCGCGAGGGGTCTCCCAGTTCCCTCCCAGGCCAGTGCTCCCCAGAACCCTTTTCGATCCCCCCTTGGCTCCTGGTCCTTGGTGACCAGTTTCTATTCTCAGGCAAGTCCTGGGAGGGGGTTACGTTACTCCCCCATTTTACAGAGGAGAAACATGGGGCACGAAGTTCTGTGACCTGTCCATGGCAGAGAGCGAGGGTGGGGGGCACTGGGATTCAGAGCCCAGGAAGGCCGGGATTCTCTCTGCATCTCCGGTGCAGATCTGGGGCTTCCTCGCCCCCGGCTCCTGTGCCTGAAAGGCCCGGGTTTGGGACCTCTGGGGAGAGCTGACCTCAAGCTTGGATCTTCCCCAGCTGGCTCCAGGTTGTCCAGGACTGCCTGAGTGACCTATGCCCCTTTTCCAGGCTGAAGCTACCAGCTTTAGCCCCAAAGCCGCCCCCTAGTCCAGCCCCCGCCACCTCCAAGCTGGGTGAGCTGGAAGGAGGGGGGGGGGGGTCACACCAGTTTGGAAAAATCTCCCAGGGAGGGGTCATCAGCTTTCTGCCTTCCTCCCTCCACCTCCCCCAACCCAGAAGCCTCTGCAGACCCCAGGACCCCATTACCTCTCCGCCAGCAGGAAGTCCCCGTCTTTGAGGGCAGGTAGCTTCCTCAGGGGGTTCACCTTCAGGAATTCAGGCTTCAGGTGCTCCCCTGAGGGGTGGAGGGGATGAGTGGCTCAACAAGTTCTGGCCCCTGGACAGACACCCCCTCCATGGAGCCCAGCCTAGTCAGGGCTCACCCCGTCCTAGGTCCACAGGCCGCAGCTCGAAGGGAATGCCGTTCTTCCGGGCAAAAATGTAGATGGCACGGCACGGGGGTGAGTACAGGTCCAGAAACAGCTCCAGCGGCATGGCTGCCCCTCCCGCTGCCCTCACCTACCCTCCTCTCAGGTCTGCCTCCCGGGGCTGGTTCGGTCCCTCCAAAATGGGGCCCGAAGAACTTCGTTCCCCTTCCCTGAAACCTATCTCCTCTGAGCTAGGAGCTGGGCGCCCCGCCAAGCCTCCACACGTCCTGGCCTCTGTGGGACGAGGCACGGTGGGTTGTTGGAGATCTGTCACTGGTTTTCCAGAGCAGAGTCCCCCAGCCTGACCCTTCTCCTCCTGCGTGGGGTGTTACAAAGCACTGCCCTCCACCCCCGGCCTGCGTCTCCCTCTGGCTGGGCCACCCCCTTATCTGTGCTTCCGGGCAGCCAGGGCGGCTTTCGCAATCCAAGCTGAAGGGGGAGGCTCCCTGGCAGACACGCACTGTTGGTCGTGAAGGGCTTTTGTGTCTTTCCTCCCAGCCCATGCCTGGGCCCCCCCCACACACAGAGTCACACACTCGCACACAGTCACGCCCTCACACACACACACACGCACAGAGTCACACACTCGCACACAGTCACATGCTCACACACACACAGACTCACACAGTCACACACACATACACAGTCACACACAGAGTCTGTCTCTCTCTCTCTCACACACACACACACACACACACACACAGTCACACAGTCACACAGTCACACACAGTCTGTCTCTCTTGCACACACACACACAGTCACACACTCGCACACAGTCACGCCCTCACAAACACACAGACTCACACAGTCACACACACACACACACAGTCACACAGTCACAGTCACACAGTCACACACAGTCTGTCTCTTGCACACACACACACAGTCACACACTCACACACAGTCACGCCCTCACAAACACACAGACTCACACAGTCACACACACACAGTCACAGTCACACAGTCACACACAGTCTCTCTCTCTGGCACACACACACACACAGAGTCACACACTCACACACAGTCACGCCCTCACAAACACACAGACTCACACACAGTCACACACAGAGTCTGTCTGTCTCTCTCTCTCTCTCTCTCTCTCTCTCACACACACAC